CATGTTTTTTATGCATTCCAAAGTCTCCCGTAAATCAGCTAGATGTTTCTTGTACCCTTTAGATTTTACGATCACATCGTCAATGTAGATTTCAACAATCCTGTCGATCAGCTTATGGAAAATATAATTCATCGTCCTCTAATAAGTTGTACCGGCATTCTTCAAACCAAAGATCATCACAACCCATTCAAATAAACCGATTACGCTAGGACACCTAAAAGCTGTCTTTGCTATGTCTTCCTCAGACATAAAAAATTGATTATATCCTACATTATCGTCCATGAAACTAATAACCTTGTGTCCGGCTGCCGCATCTACCAACATATCGGCTATCGGCATCGGATAACCATCCCTGGGTGTAGCTTTGTTCAAATATCTGAAATCGATACAAACTCTTAACTTTCCATTCTTCTTATACACAGGAACAACATTCGATATCCACTCTGCATATCGGCACGGTCAGATAAATTTTACTTCTAGTAATCTTTCAGTCTCCTTTTTTATATCACCAAGATATTTGGGTTGAATCTCCTCGGAGCTTGTTTAAACGATCGATATCCAGGTTTGATTAGCAACCGATGTTCAACAATTGATTGGTCTAGACCAGGCATCTCATAATATTTTCAAGCGAAACAAATTTTAAATTCCTTTAATAGATCTACCAACTCTTGCTTATATTTAGGATTCAACTTAGCACTTACATACGTCAGCCTAGGCCTATCTCCAGAACCAATATTTATCTCTTCTAATTCATCGGTCGACGTAAAGCCATGTCCCAGTTTACCATCCATACCATCTATTGGATTGTCCATTAAAACAAACTCTTAGAGCCGACTGCTTGAATTGGTTATTGGCCTTCATCATTGAATTTAATGAAGCCTTCTTCCCATAGCTTATAAGAAAAACATTCGAAGTCTTCTAGCTCCTAATACATTGGATCAGCTGTTGCGATACTTACAGAATCATCAGCGTGAACCAGCTTAACATCATCTCTATGCCACTGAATCAAACACTGATGCATGGTCGATGGTACACAATAATTTGCATGAATCCAATCACGACCAAGGAGTAAACTGTATGAACCCTTTCCATCAATGACGAAGAATGTGGTGAGCAAAATTTTACTTCTGATTGTCAATTCGACGTTCATTGCCCCCCTGGTCTTAGATGCATTACTCCAAAAATCCTTAAGGCATTATGTCGGTATCAATCAAATCTCCTGGTCCCTTGCCAAGCTTACGAAAAGTAGTGTAATGCATAAGATTAACAGAAGCACCTCCATCCACCAACATTTTGTTCATCGGCTTTCCATCGATAAAACCTTTCACATATAAAGCCTTTAAATGCCGATGCTTGACTGGCTTATCAAATATAGCCTGTTGTATCACTGTCAACTTGGCAACTACTCAATTTCAATAGTCATATGCTTCATCCTGTAAATTACTTGATCACAAGTACTTAAACATCTCACCGGCATTATCTTTATTTCTCGCATCCTACTAGCCCCTAAAAGTAAGACGATTAGCAGTTTGGTTTTATTCTCCATTGACATAATGGACATGATCATATCCTTGGGACAAGGAGTTTTGTATGTACCTCTTCCATATTCATAGCCCTTCAACAATGTTTCATAAATTTGCATTTTAGAAAGCAAATGAGTCCCATCTTCGTACAGTTGCAAACAAAACTTTCATAGCCCTTCAACAATGTTTCACAAATTTGCATTTTAGAAAGCAAAATAGCAAATGAGCCCCATCTTCGTACAGTTGCGAACAAACTGGACATCTTTGTAGTCCTGTGATCTATCCTGACTCCTGCGGTCGTCGCCCATAAACGCGTTTCACCAAACTCACTCCAGTTGGCTTAGGACAGAGAAAAAGGCTTCACAGGCCCGTGGAAGGGCCCAACAATTACACACAGAAAAATGATGAAAACGTCAAGTTGTCATCAATAGTAATACAATTCGTAGGCCTGTCATGTTTCTCAAAAAAAAAACCGTAGGCCTGTCATGTTATGGCGAACATCTCCCGTTTTCTCGCTGTGTCGACGCGCAGGCGTAGAGAAGGGGAAAAAGATCTTGGAATTTTTGCGTTCAATTTTCTAGCTCTAGTGTTGACAAGCTTGGAGTTTGCGTGGAGCTCTCGAGCTTGCCGATCGTTGAGCTTGGCGAGACCTTAGCTAAGCGCAGCAACGACTGTCCATGTCCTGCACTCCCAATACTACCAATACCGTTATAGGCTGTTTGGCTGATTTTTTTTTTTTGCGCTAATGTTGTTTTGTTGTGAGAGAAAAATATTGTACAATGATTGATAAGCTGGGCTGATAAGTTCAAACGAACATGGCGACATCATAAATACTAAATGATCTCACCGGTATTAGCTTTATTTCTCGCGTCCCACCAACCCCATAAAAGTAAGGCAATTAGCAATTTCGTTTAATTCTACATTGACATAATTGACACGATCATCACCCTATTTGCTTGATCGTATCAGTCATACTTATCAGCTATGATACAACATTTTTTCCTCGTAACCAACCCGCATGAGCCGTAAACCGAATGAGTTCTGTACGTACCTCTTCCATACCCATCTTTTCCTTTCGAATCCTGAGCCAAGCTCGAGTATGTCATTGGGCCACGTCGCCCTTTTTTTCGGTTCGTCCGATTTTGATCGGACGGTCTAAAACGGGCACAGCAACCAAACTTTCCAAAGCTTCCCCCCGAGCTCGTGGCTACGCCGCGCCTCATGCCTCGGGCCTCGGCCTTCCGCGCACGACGGCGCTCACTATCGTCACCGCTGGCCTGGCGCCCACTCGCTTTCGCTTTCGCGCTTGCACGCCTCATGAGACACCACTGCAGCCGCGTCGCACAGGCGTGCCGTGGTGACCAGCCTGGCTCCCTCCGGCCGAGAAGAGGCCGACCCGGGGGCTCTCGCCGCCGCCTGCCCGGCAGGAGAGGCGCCTCGCCCTGCCATAGCCGGGCGGCCGCTTGGTGGGAGAGCGTGCGAACGGGCGTCCCCGGTGTCGACAGCGCCGGCAACATTCCAGGCTTGACCTAGCGCGGGCAAGCCCGGCGTCCCTCGTTCGCGGGCTTGACCTAGCGCGGGCGAGCTCAACACCCCGGCGTGGTCCGTCCTCTTGAGCTATCTAATTGGTCCGCGCTGTCTGAACTGATATATATTTTGTCTACTCCAAGTGATGCTCAGCAATTATCTACGGTCCTTATTTGCTTAGTTTCGAGCCTCACAGTTCTTGCTCCTAATCTCCTATATATTTTTTCTGCTATGACTTTGCAACATGGATGTCGGTTCTACTCCATCTAGGTTCTCCATATAAATGAGAAGAAAGGAGTATCATTTTTCTCCTCTCTGATTTAATCAACACTGGACTGCTCAAAGTCAACGCCGCGCCGTGTCTTTTCTAGTCCTCATCGAGTCCGCAAAACAAATCGGACATCTTGTAGTCCTGTGATCTGTGCTGACTCCTGTGGTCGTGGACTCGTGGCCCATAAACGCATTTCACCAAAACTCAGTCCAGTTGGCTTTAGAACAGAGAAAAAGGCTTCAAAGGCCCATTGAACGGCCCAACAATACATACAGAAAAATGATGAAGACGTCAAGTCGTCATAATAAAAAATAATAATAAATTCGTAGGCCTCTCGTGTTATCGAGAACATCTCCCGTTTTCTCGCTGTGTCAACGCGCAGAGAGGGGGAAAAATATCTTGTTGCAAGTGGAGTTTTTCCGTTCAATTTTCTATAGCTCCAGTGTTGATAAGCTTGGAGTTTGTCAGTTTGCGTGGAGCTCCCGAGTCCCGACCTTGCCGATCGTTGAGCTTGGCGAGACCTCAGCTAAGCGCAGCAACGACGTGAGCTCTGTCCATGTCCATTACCAATACCACTGCGAGAAACTTGGGCGAGCCTCCTGGTTTTGGCTCTCTGATCATTAGAGCACATGACCGAAGACGATGTACTCGAACACCGCTCGCCGCGATTTGTCTACTTCTAGACTATTTGTGTAGCCCGAGAAAGGACTGCGTTACGCTATTGGTGTTTCGTCGTCTCTTATGTGGGGGCCACTTGGAAAAGGCCCGAAGCCTCTCCCTCCCCTTGCTAAAACTTTGTCAAATCATTAGCGCTAACCCTGCGGTCTTATCACAACACACTTGCTTGCTCGCTGGTGGAGTGGAGCAGCTAACCACACTTGCTTAGAAGAAATCCCCAGTTGGGCCACTTGCCAATACAGCCTTTCCCACAAACTGGGGGACGGGAGGAGGTTTTCGGTTTGGCGGACGCCGGACACCGTCGCGCGCGACGCTGGCAAACATCTCTGCGGCAGACCCTGTGGCCGCCTCGCGACGCGCTCCAAGGGTTCCAGCAATCCAGCGCGTGGTGGGCACGCTCTCTCGGCGTCGGGTCTCCACTCTCCTCCTCGGTGCGTTCAGCGGCAACAACGATGGCCGCAGAGTAGGACCGCTGCCCCGGATCGCCGAAAAGCTCAAAAACCGCGAACCAGGCACGCCCGCGGCGCGTCCCAGCCCGGCCGCCCGGGTCTCCACGGCTGTTGCCGTCGCTGTCTGTCCTCCGTCCTCACCGAGCGTGGCCGGGACGCCGGACGCAACTGGCTGGGCGGGGGGCAGATGCATTGCACCACCCGACCTCTCCCGAGGTCCAACCGCCGAATAGCGACGAGGTGGCCCGTGCCGGCGTGTCCGCGGCGGCCTTATCCCCTCACACGCTGTCATGAAGCTGCCTTCCCGCGAATTTTGGAGCCCACACGCCATCACCACCACACCCACTTGTCTGTTGTCACCGCCGCTTTCGCTGGCGCCTTCTCCTTCCTTCTCTTCTTCTCCCCCTTCACCCCTTCCCTATTTAAGAGCGCCTCGTCGTCCCGACACCTCCATCTCCATTCCCAAGCAAACACAAAAAAGCTAGCTAGCGTACGACTCGCTTCCAGAGCCAACCAAACCAACCAGCAAGTAGAGAGACAGGCAGAGCAAAGATGTGTGGTGGTGCGATCCTCGCCGAGCTCATCCCGAGCACGCCGGCGCGCCGCGGCGGCGCGGCGTGGCCCGCCGGCAAGGGCAGGCGGCGGAAGGCCGACGACTTCGAGGCCGCGTTGCGGGAGTTCGACGAGGACTCCGAGGAGGACGAGGAGATGATGGAGGCGGGGGAGGAGGTGGAGGTGGTGAGCAAGCCCGCCTTCGTCCTCCGCGCCTCGTCGTCCCCGGCGACGCCGACGAAGCCCAGGGCGCGCCAGGAGGAGGAGCCGAGCCGGCGCCGGAAGCCCGTGCAGCAGTACAGGGGCGTCCGGCGCCGCCCGTGGGGCAAGTGGGCCGCCGAGATCCGCGACCCCGTCAAGGGCGTCCGCGTCTGGCTCGGCACCTTCCCCTCCGCCGAGGCCGCCGCGCTCGCCTACGACCACGCCGCGCGCGATGTCCGCGGGCCCAGGGCCAAGCTCAACTTCCCCTCCTCCTCCGCCGCCGCCGCCGGGGCCCCAGCCAGCCGCAAGCGCGCCCGCGCCGCCGATGCCGCCATCATCGACCTCGTCGACCAAGAGGAACAAGAGCAGCGCGCGGCGGCGGCGTTCTTGAAGCACGAGGCCGCCGAAGAAGCAGCCGGCGCGCTCCCGGACTTCTCGTGGCAGGGCGTGTTCTCGGCGTACGACGAGGCTCCCGCCCTCGACGTCGAGGCCGGCCAGAGCGGCGATAAGAAGCGGTCGAGGACCGAGCCGGAGAGCACCGAAGACGAGGCGTCGCCCCGGGCCTCCTCCGGCTCCGAGCCGGACGCGCTGTTCGACGCGCTCCTCTTTGGCGACCAGTTCGCCTTCTTCGACGCCGGCGCGTACGAGTCACTGGACAGCCTGTTCAGCGCGGACGCCGTGCAGAGCAACGCCGCCGCCGTCGCGGCGGACCAGGAGGGCATGCCGCTGTGGAGCTTCGACGACGGCTGCCTCGTCGAGGACAACCTGTCGTTTTGAAGAGTTTCGACTGTTGTTGTGTCAGTTTTGTAAATTACGACCGTTTTGTGGAGTTTCTGTTGTACCAGTACTTGGTAGCCTGTATATGAGTAGTTGAATGAAATCGTCGTTCTCAGAAGGAGAAAAAAACGTCTATCCATGAACACACTAATCTCGTACAGAAATACTATACAACATATATATCTTTTAACAAAAATAAAAACATATAACGTCTAAGGCTAAAATAAAAACACATGATTTTTTTATCTATAACGTCTAAGGCTAAAATAAAAACACATGATTTTTTTTATCTATAATGTCTAAGGCTAAAATAAAAACACATGATTTTTTTTATCTATAACGTCTAAGGCCCGGCGTGCATGGAGGCACCATGCCGGTGGACGAGGCGCAGCTGCTACTCCAGATCAAGCGAAGCGTGTGTGGGGCGACCCTCCCGTGTTCGCTGGATGGAACGCCTCGGCCATGGCGCAAGCTGCGCGTGGCCATATATGACAGACTGACAGTATAGGGTCCGCGCCGGCCATGGCAGTGGCGGCGGCGGCGCTCGCGCCCGGGCCAGCCATGGCAGCGGCGACGGATCCGGCTCTAGGTAGGCCTCTTCTCCTCCTCTGTGATATATGATTTGTCTTTCCATATAAAAATTGTTTTTTGGGATCTGTGATTTTGTGATTTATGATTGTTTGGAGATAGGAGAAGGCTGGATGCTGAAGGTAAAAGAAGGGTGAAAGTTGTTGAATCTTATTCCTATGGTGAAAAAAATTAATTTGTTAAAACTACATAAAACATATAGTTGTGTAGTACACATACTCTCCTCCTGACAGTTTTGCTCCAACGATCCTCTCCGGAAAATTTGCACGAACATTAAAGCAGCTAGGTAATTAATTTTAATTAATTTCCCCATGGATTTAGTCAGGGCCCAGCCCCAGCCATGTCCAGCCTAGGCCTAGCCGCCATCCACCCACACCTAGTACAGATGATTCCTTTTACTTGGAGTCCGATTGATTTCTTCGATGTGGAATAGTCGTGCATGCTTAGGAGATATTTGGTTTCTCCTGCTAAACTTTAAGCGCTGTTATATCAGATGTTTGAAACATATATAGAGTATTAAATATAGATTAATTACGAAACTAATTACACAGCTTACGACTAATTTACGAGACGAATCTTTTAAGCCAAATTAGTCCATGATTTGACAATGTAGTGCTATAGTAAACATGTGCTAATGATGGATTAATTATGTTTAATAATTTCGTCTTGTAAAGTACTAACGGATTCTGTAATTTATTTTTTATTAATATCCAAACATTCCCATGCTACATCCTCACATGACACCTCCTAAATTTTAATCACCGAATTCAAACATCCTCGTCTTAAAACACCCTCATCTTAAATCCTCTAGGAACGGGCTGATGGCGGTGGTGGCAGCCGTGGCGCATGGAGGCTGGACCTGGGTTGGACATCGGAAGGCCCGGGTCCAAACTCAACCCATGGTGAAATTAATTATAATTAATTACCTGGCTGCTTTAATATTCGTGCAAATCTTTAGAGAGGACCACCGGAGCAAAACTCGTTAACAGTTAGTGTAACTTGGGAGGCTACATGTCAAACTACGCATTATAAATTGAGCAAACGGTGTATATATCAACAATATTGACATATAATATTAGTTTACCGCATTTTTCTCAATATGTAGTAAACATAGGGCTAGCTCAGTGGAGCAATCAGACAGGCAGAGGCGGACGGTGAAAAGCATTTGGATTATCCGTTCTGAGTTCACAGTGGCAGATCAACTTGTTTGTGGGAGAAAACACGGCTGACAAAGCATTTGAAATTTACGATCACAGTGGCAGATCAACTTTTTTGTGGTTGTAGCATTTTAACTACAATATCAAGCTAACCATTGGCCGTAGCTCAGTGGAGACAATCAGACAGGCAGAGTGCGGACGGCTGAAAAGCATTTGCAATCTCCATCCGTGTGAGTTCACAGTGGCAGATCAACTTTTCAACTTTGTGGTTGCACGACTTGTACGTAATCTCATAACAGCTTGCGTTACAAAAATAGATTGTTTTTGTTTATGTAATGACTGGAACAATGCCTTTTAACTGAAAAGAAATATAATTGATGATTCAGTTTATAAGAGAAATCAATCTGAAAATCTTACCAATATGGAATCCGCGGTCCTGTTCAGAACACGGGAGTTCCATTTCTGTTCCTGCGGTTGGTTTTTATGTTACGAAATTAAACTAATTTCTGTGAAATTTCTGCATAATTTGTATAAAACCCTGAGCTCCAAACATGCGTGGCACATCGTACGCATTGCGCGTCTGCCGACGAACGCCACTCGACGAGGACTCGAGGAGGTCGTCCTCCCGGCCTTCAGGCACATGCACATCACCGGCCAAGCCCTGCGCCCTGTTCGCAGCGGCGTCGGACGCGGGCTTCTGAGTGCAGACTGACAGTGCAAGCGCATGGGGATGGGCAGCAAGTGATTAACGATCGAGAAGTAGATTCAGATGTTAACAACTCTAAGATTGGTCGATTAAACGCATGGCAGCTGAAGATGTCATACAGACGTGGAAACCTCGTACGCAAACGCTTGCTTATTACGGCGATGAAAGCATTTCTACAGTGCAGGTGTCAGGTGTGCAGCACGAGGGACAGTGAACTACATTATTTTTTTTACAGGGGCAGGGAAGAAGGAAAGCCGGCCGGCCTAGAAATAGCACACGCTGTCGTCGAAGCTCCAGAGCCCCACGCTGTCGTTGCACAGCGCGGCGTCGCCGCCCAACAGGCCGTCCGTCGCGGCAGGCTCGTACACGCCGCCGCCGTTGAAGAAGCTGAACTGGTCGCCGAACATGAAAGCGTCGAACAGCATGTCGGCGGGATCACCGGACGGCACCGCCTGCGCCACCTCCTCCTTGCCCTCGGCTTCTTCTTCCCGGGGCTCTGTCTCTATCCGGGCGCGCTTCTTGGCGCCGCCGAGCTCGACCGCCGCGCCGTCGTCGGTCGCGGACATGCCCTGCCACGAGAAGTCCGGCAAGGCGCCGCAGCTGCTGCTGCCTTCGGTGTCGTTCTCGACGTACGGCGCGCGCGCGCGCCGAGAACGCTGTCGTCCTCGTCCACGAGGTCGACGCGCGGGATCGCCTTGGCGGCAGCGGAGCGGCGCTTGGACGGGAAGTTGAGCTTGGCGGTGGCGCCGCGGGGTTCGCGCGCGCCGCGGCCTCGGCGGTGGCGAAGGTGCCGAGCCAGACGCAGACGCCCCTGACGGGGTCGCGCACCTCGGCCGCCCACTTGCCCCACGGCCGGCGCCGGACGCCGTGGTACTGGCTGCTGCTGGGCCGCCTCCTGCGCAGGGTCGCGGTCGCGGTCGCGGGGGCGGCGAACCCGAACGCCTTGCCCTTTTGCCGCTCCTTCATAACCGCGTCTTCCTCGGAGTCCTCGTCGAAGTCCCGGAACGCGGCCTCGAAGTCATCGTCGGCCGCGGTCCGACCATTGCCGCTGTCGTGGCCCGGCGTGGCGCCGCGCTGCGCCGGTGCGCTGGGTATGAGCTCGGCGAGGATCACGCCGCCGCACATCTTCAGCACGTTCGTTTAGCTGTGGCTCGTCATAAACGATCGTAAATTTTCAGTCGGAAAAATATTTTTCTCTCACATAAACCAGCCAGCAATACTTCTTCACAAACAACAACGAAACAAACCAGCCGACCAGCCAACCGAACACGCCGCTCGCTAATGCTAGCTCGGTCGTCGGACGGTCAGCTGCCTAACGTGCTTTTCTTGGAGATAGCCTGACACTGAAGTGAACTGTGAGTCTTTATACAGGGTGGGTTGTAGTGTCCTGTTGGTTGTGAATTTGTGATCGTCGGCAGCGCCGAGGTGGCGACTATATAGGAGGTGCTTAGAGGGGGCGAGAGGGCAGCGTGAAATTTTTGCATTTTGGTTCTTTTTAAAAATATTTTTTTACAAAAAAAACCCCTACCAAAACTTTTGCTACAAATAGATCATTTTTAAGCGTCTTAGAAAATCACGCAATATGAAGACCTATTTGGCGCATCAATGATTCATTCATATGAAACGCCTAAAAATATGGCATTATCATGTGGCCAAGCGCCCAACATCCACTCATCAATGTATTATGGTGCTCCATTTGCCAGAGTGGAGAAATGAACCTGTAAATTTTACACCATAGCGGCAATATGAAGGCCTACTCAATGATTCATACATGTAAACGAACAAAATATTGCATGTTACGTACTTGTGGAGTTGCCAACGGTGGAGGAGAGAAGGCTGCGACCTACCAACTAGAAATACTAATGAGGGAGATGTTACTCACCGCATAGAAACAAATAAGGGGGGTCATCATCGTCCAGACGTCCTCGTCTGCCGTGCACAAGAAGCTCAAGTTGAGATCCGTGACTTGCCTCCGTCGATATGGGCACCATTCAACCTGTACACAACGTCGTCATCAACTAGTCGACGCTCAATTTGTGTGCATATCCTCGATTAGGCCAAAAGGGTGGGAAACTTACATGCTGTGGCAAAAGGATGTCTAGCTCGTTGGTGAAGCTGATGTACGCATGGCGTGACACGTGGTAAGTTCCGTGGGCTCGCTCGTAGAGGTGTGCCACGGTAGGGGCGACAACTGCGTCTCCTTAAGTAAACCAAGGTTGTGGGGGATCAAGCTGATGCGGTCTCCCAATTGGAAGCCTCTTCCACATCCAAATCTGCAAAAAAGAGTGGAAACTTGCATGTTAATCACTTTTGTTAAGAAAAAACATTGAATTATAGTGGAAACTTGTACAACTTTGCTTTATTACCTGCAACAGTGTGATGCACCCTGACATTGTAGCGTGCACGCCTCCAGGACGGCGGCAAGCCTCGCAAAGCTGACGGTATAGGAAGGCAAGCATAGCCGAGCCCCAACTCCTATTGTCGGCATCCTTCCAGTTCCAAAGGCATGGGATGTACATCCAGGACGCCGTGTCTCCAGTGCCGTCAAGGAAGAGAACCGTACCAAACATGTGCAGGACGTAGGCCCGATAGTAGTATGTCACGGTCTGGGCGTCTACGTTGGGTGGGCACTCCCGAAACTGCTGACGAAGCCACCTCAGGGACACCCCACTGCTGCGCCGTTTCTTGCCAGCCTCAACTACCGCTAGGGGACGTCCCAAGAAGTGCTCAACCCGCTGCTGCCATCCTTCAGACTCCGTGTCTCCTATCACTGGGAATTCTCGGATTTTGACTCCAAGGATCATGGCAATGTCCTCGAGAGTGACCGTCATCTCCCCGCACGGTAGGTGAAAGCTGTGTGTCTCCGGACGCCACCGATCTATCAATGCCGTCAGCGCTGCTGGGTTGAAAGGTGGCGTGCCTCGACGATAAACACGAGCAACGGTAGCAAGGTTCACCAGCTTCAGGAGGGGCGTGTACCTCTCGTCGTAGACCATGGTCGTAGAGGCCTCATGTGTCATTGGCCTCAGCACATTCAAAACTTGCAAAAAAAGACAAACATAAAAAAGTATTAGTTCATGTCACTTTATAAAGAGCATGGACTATAAAGCAAAAGATGAACAATGCACTGTTTTATATGAATTATTGAATATACCTCTCCGTTCTCGATCCTCCGAGCCCGGTGGTGCTCATCGAACCTTGGATCAAGAAGGGGGAACCGATCCATCCTGCAACATAAGGAATGCCAAAGCATTAGTATAAGTTAAAGCATGTATATGTGGTACGAAGTAACATAACAATAAAAAAAACAAAAGTAAACCAATGCACTATTACACAAAGCAATTCAAGTAGCTAGCTTGGTGGATACCTGTTGTCTAAGTAGTTCAGGACATTTTCTCTTATTGTGGCCCGTCTTATGGCAACCAGAGCAACGACTCTTTTGGGTGTCCTCTATAAAATGTGTCCCAACCTTACTCATGGTTGATCTACCTTTCGTGGCTCGGTCTATGTCCATCCTGAACCGCTTCCGCCGCCTAGGTCCTCTACTCTTCTAGAGTAAACCAAGATCAGCCACATACTTGGGGTCATCATAAGTAGGCCATTGACTCTCGTCAAGAAATGGCTTGAACTGAGGATTCCAGGTGCTCATTAGGTTCCTTAAAGAGAACTCCGCGGCCATACGGGGAGGGACCTCAGCGTCAACACGTCTAAGGCGATAGGCTGTAATCATGTGGGAGCAAGGCCTATGGTATATGGTCGGTTTCCACACGTACACTTGTTCTCATTGATCACTACTTTATGTTTTCGAGCACCCCGGTCTTCACCACCAATGTTAGTTCCACCACCCTCTAGAATCTCATATCCATGGTTGATCGGATCGAAACATGAACCCTTACATCATTTAGACTTTTTCTTTGAGAAAGCTAGTTCTGAGATGCTAAAAGTGGCCAAGCTTTGCTCTGCTATCCATAGAGACTCTCGCATGCTTCTTCCTCTAAAAGCAACCAAGCATTCAACTTATAGAAGGTGAATGAGGCAATACTTGATCCACAAGCGGACCACGACAACCTCTTAGAAGGCTATTAAACATCTACGCCATGTTACTAGTCATGAAGCCCCATCTCCAACCTCCGGTGTCATATGTAAGTGACCACTTATCCTTCGACGCCATCAACTCGCTCAAGAATTGCCTGTCATCAACATTTGTGGCTAACTTCAGGGCATCTAGCTTGTCTTTGAATAATTGAACCTCTTGCTACCTGCAAACCTCCTCAAATAATTTGAAGTTGTCCTTTGTGTGATCACGCCTTATAAGATTCTGAGCAAGGTGTCTGGTGCACCACCGGTGATGTATTTGGCCGTAACCAGGAATCTCTTGTTCTACGGCATTCAGAATGCCAGCATGTCTATCGGATATCACACAAACATCACGTCCCAGACCAATTACCACTTGTCTTACTAGCCTGAGAAACCAACACCAACTATCCGTGTCCTCCTTCCAAACAATCGCAAAGGCCAATGGCACAAGCTAGTCTTCTGCATCTGTCCCAATACAAACAAGCATTGTGTCTTCAAATTTCTCTGTAAGAAAGGTCCCGTCAATTGAGATGACGGGCCTGCAATGCTTGAATGCTTCGATGCTCTGCCCGAACGCCCAAAAGGCCCTTCCAAATACCTGGCTACCATTCCTTGTTTCACCCTCCTTAGGTAAATACTCGAAGTGCATCCCAGGATTTACAGCCCTCATTGCGTTCAACATTACAGGGAGGCGCTCATAAGCTTCTTCCCAATTTCCAAATATTATTTCCAGTGTACGCTGCTTTGCCCTCCATGCTTTTCCATACTTGACATAGTAATTGTACCGTTGGAAGATGATCTCAACCAACGCGAACACCGTAATGGTTGGCATATGCTTCACCACGGGGCATAACTGCCTTGCAATGAACCTAGAATTGAGCTGCAGATGGTTCTTTTCTGCCTCAGCAGTGGCACAAACATGTGGTTGCTTCATTAAGGTAATCTTCCATTTGCCTGCCTTCGTCTTTCTAGCACATACTCTCCAACCACACTGTTGTTCTTCACAAGCAACAGTGTACCTCTTCTCCTTGAATTAATTGATGACCCTAAAAGGTCGGTTGTGCACAATGGAGTACTCTTGCAACCATGTTTTCAACTCATCCATGGTAGCAAACAATATGCCCTTCCGTATGATGAGGCAACCGCTAACATCAGGCACTGTTGTATCACTTGGCCCACCATCAGCTACTGCCATGTGACTATGGCTAAGGTCCTCGAAATCACCAACTAGTGGATCTCTCCAAGGCAAGACCCTAGACAATATCTCTATTTCCCTAAAATTGAGACGACCAACAGGGCGATCGTCATCGGAGTCGTCGGCTATCTCCTCTACGAAGGATTCATCATTTCCAGCTATCTCCATGTCAAAACAGTTCGTAGCCCTAGCATCACCAAAGTCTTTTTCACCACTAAGATCATCTTCGTCGCTAACTCATCCTCAATAGAAAAGTCTCCGCTAGCGTCGTCCAAACCTTCTTCTACATCACCAATTACATAATCATCATCCTCTTCATCACTATCATGATTGCCCTCACCATTGGCAACCACATTCTCCTCCTCATCTCCACCGCCCTCAAACCTATAACAGAACCGACCAATTATATGAGATTAAGTAAGGAAATCTTCCGCTGAAGCAGATAATTTAGCAAACTTAAGCCCGTATAACCCGGTAGTCCGTGAAACCACGAAGGATTTCAAACCAATCAACATACAAACCAAGATCGTACAAGTTTAGCAAGTACCGTCACACGTTACATAAAGTTCGCAATCACAGTTGGGCACATCAGAGTTTAGAATATAAAGTTATTACAAACCCAGTTCAATCTGAAATAGCAGAAGCAAATAATTTTAAAGCCACACACACTTTTAGTTCAGAGACAATGCTAGTAGGTAGTCATCTCCAACAAAAGCATCAGATGAGAGATACGGAGTGACCATTGCCCTTGATCCTAGTTGTCATCCAAATGCAATAGTCGTAGTACATTTGACCATCTGCAGCAACAATGGGAACAACGCCCTGAGTACGAGAAGGTACTCAGCTAGACTTA